TTTTATCAAAAATGGGTGTTGGATTTTGTCAAATGCTTTTTCTGCGTCTATTGATATGATCATGTGATTTTTGCCTTTCAATTTTTTATGTAATATATCATTTTTATTGACTTGCAAATATTGTACCAGCCTTGCATCCCTGGAAGAATTCCCACTTAGTCATGGCGTATGATCTTTTTAATATATTGTTGGACCCAATCTGCTAATATTTTGTTGAGGATTTTAGCATCTACTAGTATGTTCATCAGGGATATTGGCCTGTAATTCTCTGTCTTTATCTGGTTTTGGAATTAGGATAATGATGGCCTCATAAAAAGAGTTTGGAAGTGTTCCTTCCTCTTGTATTTTTGGGAATAGTTTGAGGAGGATAGGTATTAGTTGTTCTTTGAAGGTTTGGTAAAACTTCTCTGTAAAGCTGTCCAGACCTGAGCTTTTGATTGCTGGGAGTTTTTTTTTTATTACTGCTTCTATTTCCTTTGTTGTTATTGGCCTATTCAAGTTTTCTGATTCTTTCTGATTCAATTTTGGAAGATTGTATTTTTCTAGGAATCTGTCCATTTCATCCACATTGTCCAGCTTGTTGGGCATATAGTTGTTCATAGTATTTTCTTACAATCCTTTGTGTTTCTGTGGTGTCAGTGGTTAATTCACCACTTTCGTTTCTGATTTTGAGTCCTTTCTCTTTGTTTCTTGATGAGTTTGGCTAATGATTCATCAATGTCGTTTATCCTTTCAAAAAACCAGCTCTTGGTGTCATTGATTTTTTTGTATTGTTTTTTTTTAGTCTCGATGTCATTTATTTCTGCTCTAATCTTTATTATTTCCTTCCTTCTACTTACTCTGGGTTTTTCTTGTTCTCTTTATAGTTCTTTAAGTTGTAGGGTTAAATAGTTAATTGTTAAAAATTTTTTGAGGTAATCCTGTAGAGCTATGAATTTCCCTCTCAGGACTGCTTTTGCTGTGTCCCATGTCCCAGAGATTTCAAGTTGTTGTGTTCATTTTCATTTATTTCCAGGAATTTTTTTATTTCTTTCTTGAACTTGTTGGTAGCCCATTCATTGTTTAATAACATGCTATTTAGCCTCCATGTGTTTGAGTGTTTTTAATTGTTTTTACTGTAGTTGATTTCTAATTTCATTCCACTGTGATCTGAGAAGATGCTTGATATGATTTCAGTCTTCTTGAACTTGTAGAGACTTGCTTTGTATCATAATATGTGGTCTATCTTTGTGAATGTTCCATGTGCACTTGAGAAGATTGTATATTCTGCAGCTTTGGGGTGAATTGTTCTATAAATGTCAATTAAATCCATCTGATCCAGTGTGTCCTTTAGAGTCACTGTTTCCTTGTTGATTTTTCATCTGGAAGATCTATCCAGTGAAGTCAATGGGGTGTTAAAGTCCCCTACTATTATTGTATTGCTGTTGATCTCTCCCTTAAAGTCCTCTAGAAGCTCTTTTTTGTATATTTCGGTGCTCTTATATTTGGTGCATATATGTTTACCAGGGTTATATCCTTTTGTTGTATCAGTCCCTTTAGTATTATGTAGTGACCTTTGTTGTCTCTTGTGATGGCCTTCATTTTGAAGTCTATTTTGTCAGATATGAGTATTGCTACACCAGCTTTTTTTCATTTCCATTTGCACGGAAAAAAATTTCCATCCCTTCACTCTCATCCTGTGTGTGTCTTTTGTTCTGAAGTGGGTTTCTTGTAGACAGCATATAGTTGGGTCATATTTTGATGGGCACATTTAATACATTTTCATTTAAGACTATTATCGATAGGTGCTTGTTTATGCCATTCTACTTCTGTATGCTTAGCGTTCTCTATTTCTTCTCATTACAGTAGTCCTTTTAGCATTTCTTTCTTTTTTCTTTCTTTTTTTTTTTTTTACAGAGAGGAAGGGAGAGGGATAGAGAGTTAGAAACATCGATGAAAGAGAAACACCGATCAGCTGCCTCCTGCACACTCCCTACTGGGGATGTGCCCGCAACCAAGGTACATGCCCTTGATCGGAATCGAACCTGGGACCCTTCAGTCCGCAGGCCGACGCTCCATCCACTGAGCCAAACCGGTTAGGGCTTAGCATTTCTTTTAATGCTGGCTTGGTGGTGATGAACTCCTTTAGCCTTTTTTTTTGTCTGGGAAGCTTTTTTTTGACTATTTTGAATGATAGCCTTGCTGGATAGAGTAATCTTGGTCTCAGATCCTTGCTTTCTGTTACTTTGGGTACTTCATGCCATTCCCTTCTGGCCTATAGAGTTTCTGATGAGTAATTGGGTGTCAGCCTATGGGAACTCCTTTGTAGGTAACAGTTTTGTTTTTCTCTTGCTGCCTTTAAGATTCTCTCTTTATCTTTAATTTTTGGCATTTTAATTATGATGTAACTTTTTGAGTTATTCTTATTTGGGACTCTCTGTGCCTCCTGAACTTGTGTGGAAAAAGTCCTCTCCAGGACTTTTTCCTTTACCAGGTTAGAAAAGTTTTCTGACATTATTTCTTCAAACACCTTCTCTATCCCTTTCTCCCTTTCTGCCTCTTCTGGCACACCTACTATTCAAATATTGTTATGTTTCATGTTGTCCCACAGCTCCCTTAAGCTGTCCTCCTGTTTTTTGATTGTTTCTTCTTTTTGGTTCTCTGATTGAGTGATTTTTTTCAACCCCGTCTTCTAATTCTCTGATTCAATCCTCAGCTTCCCCTAATCTGCTGTGTATTCCTTCCAATGTGTTCTTTATTTGTGCTATGTCATTCTTTGTGTTTTCATAGTTACTATATCTTTTATCATGCTTTTGAGCATCTTTACCATCATTATCCTGAACTTTATATCAGATAAATTTCTTATCTCCATTTCATTTCTCTCTTCTTTTGGAAACTTCTCTTGTTCTTTCATTTGGGGTTTTTTTCTTTGTCTCTTCATTTTGGCTACCTGTTTGGGTTTATGACTCTGTATTAGGTAGATCTGCTACGCCTCTCAATCTCTAGTGCAGGATGGTGTCAAGCTGTTTCTGACTAATTATCTTAGGCAAAGACTCGAAGTCTCCAGAGACCGCCTCTGTCTACAGACTGATAGGATTCGGTCTTGAATTGCCCTCAGGCAATTGTCCACAGGTGTGGCAAGAGTTTTTTTCTATAGGATGGTGCAATTGCTTCTGCTTGGAGGCTAATTGTTATTCTCAGTCTCTTAATGGGTTTTCCAATATGGTGGGTCAACTGTCTTCCCCCCAGTCAAGGCCACCTGTATAGCAAATGTCTGCATGAGAAAGATCACCTCCACATAGTGAGGGAATGACTCAGCACAGTTATCTGGGGTATCTGCCTTCTGAGCTCTAACCCCAGAGCCCCAAAGCTGGCTTCTGCTCACAGAGCTGCAGTCCACTCTGCCCTCCCTCTGCCAGAGCACAAGGTGAGTGGCTCCACAGGGAATTTTATGCGTTGGCCCTTTAAGAGGGGTACCTGAATTTTCCAGCCATCTCTCCCTGGCAGACAGCAACCCTGCTGCTTCTCCCAGCCAGATGTTATGTGGGCACCCTTCTCAGTTCTGATGCTCTCTGCTGGGGGCCCAGCTTGGGATTAGTACCCAAAGTTCTCAGTGGCAACTCCCACAGCTGAGGTATCTCTCCAGGACTTCAGCTGCTGTCTGTGGGAGCCCAGCCAGCCCTTTTGCGCCTCCGGCCCTTCCAATCAGTCTCTATGTTGTCTCCACTTTCCGTCCTCTATTAGCAGGGTTTTCTCCAGGGCGGCCTCCATTAATTATTCTGGAGGTTTTCCCGTATTTCAGTTGTAATTCCAGTTTGGTCCAGGGAGCATGTCTATACAACATCCACTTACTCCACCGCCATTTAAAATCCACCTACCTGCCTTCTTTATTTAGACCAAATTTCAGCAACAAATTTGGAAAACAACAAATATGAAACAACCAGGAAACTGTAGCACTGACTGATACTTGAGGAAACTAAGGAATGACTGCTCATTTTTAAGGCACAATCATGCTCATGTGGTCGTTTTTAAACAGCCTCCTTAAGGAGAGGACTGGAAATACGGTGATGAAGGGCAGTGTCTGGGATGAGTGTAAAACACAGCAATGGTCTACCCTATAAGGAACACTGCCTGGCTGTACAAAGGAATAAGGTACTGCTTGATGCTACAGCAGGGGTGGACCTCAAACATGTGCTCAGTGAAGAAGCCAGTGCAGAACATGGACTGCGTGCTGCCATCGTGTGCTGTTCAGATACAGAACACAGACGGGGCGGCCTGGGCCTGGCCTCCAAGTGGTGGAGAGGAGGCTTTTTCTTGGAGTGGTGGGAAGTTCTCAAACAAGACAGTGGTGAAGCACGCACACAGGAAACACACTGCAGACCCACAAGTTGTATACTGAAACAGGTGACTTTTCTGGTACGTGAATTATGTCAATGAAGTGGTTAATAAAGAGGCATTCTATGACGCGCCGTCTGGCAGGAGTTGATATAAGGTGGAAGCAGGTGATGACACAACTCTTCCTGCTTGTTGGAAATTGCATATATGAACACTTGTTGACTGCATTCACATGTCAAGGCCTATATCCCCCCCCCCCACCCCCAAAGAGCTCTTTCCAGAGCTCCAGGCCCAGCGGAGAGCCACACGGCCATGGCGTTTTTCACTTGAAGCCTCAGTACCCAACGGCCTCTCAGACGGCCGGGCCCTGACACCTGCTTCCTGCCCCCCGACCACACGTCTCCTGAGCTGCTCAGTGGACAGGGTATGGGTCAGAGGGCGAGCGGTTATGGTCTGAACTGGAAGATATACAGTGGGGCCTTGACTTACGAGTTTAATTCGTCCTGAGACCGAGCTCGTTAAGGAGCTCGTTAACTCAAATTACTCTATCAACTCAATGCAAAAAATCGGCAGAGAGACAGCTGGTATCTCAAAAAACTCGTTAGTCGGGACACTCGTGAGTCAAGACACCACGGTATTGAGACCTTGCCGGAGCCCAATCCTGGGACCCTTCAGCTGCCACTCACCGGTCAGGCCCAGGGTGGACGCGGGGCCCACGCGCCGCCCCCCGTGCAGGCCGTACAGGTGCATCTTGTACTTGCGCCCCGGCTCCAGGCCCCGCACGGTGACCTCGCTCTCCTCACCCCCGACACGCACCACCTGGGGCCGCCCGTCCCTGTCCTTGTACTGGACGGTGAAGGCGTCGAAGTGGCCCCGGGGGACGGTCCAGGACAGGCTCAGCGAGTCCGGGGAGGATCCCGTCACCGTCAGCTCCCCCAGCAGGGGCTCCTCAGGGGGCTCGGGGGCCTCCGTGCTGGGTTCTGCGGGGCTGGGGGTCTCCTCCTCTGCAGCTGAGAAGCAGACACAGGGCGGTGAGGCAGGCTCCATGGAGATGTGCGGGTCTCCTCCCGAGCCCTGGTCATGCCGGGCCCTGGTCACTCCAGGGAGCCCCTCGGGGCAGCCTCACTGACATGCCCAGAGCGTGGGGTCGGCTGTGGCCGCAGCCCCCGCACAGCCCAGGGGCCCTTCTCTGCCCAGGGCCCCGCTGGTGCTCAGGGAGCCCAGGGGAGGCACAAGGGCACCACGGCTCAGCCTCGAGCAGAGGGGCCCCTGCACCCCCTCAGCCATCACGAGTGTCATCTCCCGCAGGTCCCACCGGGGCTCCCACCACCCACTCACCTGTCACCCCGGTGGCAGAGGCGGGGCCCTGGCGCTGGCCGTCGTGGAAGCCATACAGGTGCATCTTGTACTTGTGGTCCGGCTCCAGGCCCGAGATGGTGACCCCGTCCTCGTGTCCCGGCACCCGGACCGCCTTGGGCTGGCCGTCCCCGTTCTTGTACTGGACCAGGAAGTGGTCAAACTGGCCCTGGGGGACGGTCCAGGAGAGGCTCAGCGAGTCCGGGGAGGATCCCGTCACCGTCAGCTCCCCCAGCAGGGGCTTCACGGGAGGCTCAGGGGTCGTGGTGGGTGGGACTTGGGTGGTCACAGCTTCGTAGTCGGGAGCTGGACGAGCTGGACAGAGACATGGGGGACAGGTGAGGTCTCCTCAGCCCTCAGCGCGGCACATACAGGGCCCATTGCAAACATAAGGCAATAAGGACCAGAATCTGCCGTCCACAGCGGCTCTAACTCCAATTCTTTCCGGTCCCTCTAATGTCTCCTTCAACCCCTCACAGTCAGCCTTCCTCCCCCGTCCCCCCACCACCCACCAGCACCCCTGCGACCCCCTCCTCCAGCACCCGCCTCCCCCCCCCCCAGCACCCCTGCGACTCCCGCTCACACAGGCTCTGCTCTCCTTGAACACAGGCCCCGAGGTGCCTGTGCCCTGGGCTCCCTCCACTGGGCCTGGGTGGCATCTCACTCCCTTTGGCTCAGGACTTTGCTCCCAAACAGCTCAGACCAGACCAGAAACCTGCAGTCTTCCTGGCCCTGCTCCCTCCTCAGTCCTCAGCTGCCCCTGGGCCTCACTCTCTCTGAACTTCTCTCCCATCTCCCCGCCCCACACACCTGCAGCCCGGGCCACCCCCACCTCTCACCTGTGCTCCCCCCTCCCTCCTGCTGCCCCTGTCTCCCTCCCATCCCTCTGCGCAGCGTCCAGATGGGACCAGAAACGCACGGTGATGGAGTTGGTCTTACTTAAAGCTGCACAACCCTGTGCGCCCGGAGGAGCCCTGCTGCCTGAGCTGCCACCTCTGCACCCCTTCTCGGGACTGTCCCCCACTCAGAGCACTTCATCCAAACCCTCTCGGGTGCCCCGTGCTCCCAGTTCCCAGGCCTTTGCACCAGCTGTGGCATCATGGATGTGACACCCTCTCTGTCCTATCGTGCGGTCACCATGCCGACACCTGCCTGGCCGCAGGCCTCAGCTGTCCTGGGGGGGCCGTGGACAGGCTCCTAGGCCTCGCAGCCCAGGCCTGGCCTGACCCAGGGCTTCCTGTCGTATCCACCCCCCTTTGCCTGTTTTGTCGGTTCACAGCCTGTCTTCCCACGACCAGGAGCCCCATTAGGATAAGACCTTGTCTCTCTGCCAAGTTCAAGGTCGACCCGTGAACTCCCGCCGCTGGGCTCAGGGCGCCCCATCTGGCTGACCCACTGCAGTCCTAAGTCTGGTGATGTCTGAACCGTGAGGTTGGGGCGCTGGCAAGACGCCTGTCAGGGCTCCAGTCGCCCCCGAGGCCCAGCGGGTGGGAAGCACCAGGGATGCGGGTAGGACTCCCTCCCACAAGTTCTAAGGCTGTGATCCCTTGGCTGTGAGGTGGGGCCAGAGGGCCCTGTGGGGGAAGCGACTCTCCAGCCCCAGCCCCCCTGCCCCAGCACCGCCCTCTACCAGACCCCAGGCCAGCGGTGGAGCCTGCGGGGGCGGGGGAGGAGGTTTGCGGGGGGGCACACTGGTGTTTCCACGAAGATGGTAACAAAGGGAGAGTCCTCCAGGGCCCTCCTCCCTGCCCTGCCCCTGGGTCCCCGCCCCCAACTCAACCGGTTCAAGGCCCCAGGGTTGGAAGGCGGGGCCCCACGCGCCGGCCCCCCCGTGGCAGGGCCGTAACAGGGTGCATCTTTGTACTTGTTGCCCCCGGTTTCCGGGGCCCCGCACGGTGACCTTCGCTTCTTTCTTTATCCCCGGAAACCGCACCAATCTGGGGGCCCGCCCGTCCCCTTTTTTCTTTGTTACTTGGAACGGGTGAAAGCATTCGTAAGTGGGCCCCGGGGGAAGG